CAGTTGTACCAAGAAGCTGAAAAGCTTTCTTATGTATGTCTTTTCCACGAATGCTTTGGTCACTGCAGTCTGTTCTACGCTTCGCAGACACTTATCCCGAGTGCATTGTATCTCTAAATACCAAGATTTCATCTACTCGCCAGATGGAAACAAGAAGAAAATCACCAAAAGCATCTATTACATAGTCTTTCACTCCTCTTTCACTACGGGAAATATTGAGGTCATTTCGCCGTGCATTGAATACTGTGAAACTTGGTTGTGCAATAGTGCGGTGCTCACCCCCAAAGTTCACGAAGAGATTAAATCGATTCCTGAAGTTTTTCGATTTCGATTGCGCACGAATGCTGTCCCAGTTCAAACAACGCTTGGGGTCACTGATAGATGCTGTATATCTTTCTGCATTTCGTCATCCAAAGCTGAAGACAGTTCTAGTGGACTTGAACAAATATACCAACTCCTCAATAACGAGACCGACGGCGTTGACAAGCAAGAACTTCAAAGAATCATGCCTCTCATCTGGGTAGGCAGCAAGAGTATAGTTCCGAGTTTTTTCCAACATCAATATGTCACCTTCTTGGACTGTCGGCGATACTCTAAGCAACCTCAAAGCCTTGCCCTTTGCAAAGTTCAAGAGATCCTCATATCCATGGACATTCACTATCACTTCCAAAAAGATCCATTTTGATTCTTTATGCGGCAGGAGCTACACTTGAGGCTTTCAGACAGGCCATCTTTCATGCAGACATAATACTCCCTTTTGGAAGGGAGGAAGGGTGTTTCCAATGTAAGTTTGAACCAGGTCAAATTCAAGACTCATGGCACGTCGAGCTTCAAACTGCCGGCAGTACGAACTATGAGGCCTATCAAATTGAGGATGATGGCACCCTCACGACAAAAGATGGAGGTGTACAGGCAGACCTCTCCACTTACCTGTCACACACCTTTGATGCAGTTCGTATTCGCTCCGCTATTGTCCATGTGCAGGGTAAGAGTCAGCAGAAGGTTGTTACTTTCCTTGCCAGTTCGAACATCCAACCGCAGATACCGTGTGTCTTCAAAGACCACCAAGGATATGATCGCTTTCTCTATTATAAGCAACCTGAAGTTATTGCTGATGCGCCTTTCTCGAACATACATGTTAAAGAAAATCGGATTGACCACCATGTCATTTCGCAAACCAAGGGGTCAAATCAAGGCGCCAAAATCAGCGCCTTCTTTCCAATCCGACGCGATGATCTTTCGCGTAAAAGGTTGAATAGAGTCAAATCGAATAACTTTTACATCAATCAGCATGATGTTCTTTGTACTATTCTTGATGAAGCAGTGCCCATTAGTCAATCATGCCTTGACTATCCAGGATGCTACTATTCTTCTTGACCTCTTGCTTCATCGAAAACCTATTCTGGATCATCATTCGACCTTCCTTGCTTGTCCATTAGACAAACCACATGTTGAAGAACAAAGGTGCAGTTCTGAAGGCGACACCATTGTCCTACCACCACATGCTGGTATAGTTCATTGTCACCTCCAAAGTAATCAGGTCTTTACTGTCTTTCAGCCTAGGTTCGAGGATGGTATTGTCTATCGATGTACTCGCAATGGCCTGCAACTTTCAGTATGTGAGTGCACAGATCTCATCCTTTTCCTCACAGGACAGCTTGACGTCTTTGACCTATTCAAAACGGCGCCAAAAGGTCGAGTTGTTACTATATGGCAAGTTGAGGTTGACGTTTCAACCACCAAACAGTCTAATAATTCCAGTTTCCCTCATGAACTTGCAAGGCGAAATCTCGCAGCGTCAAGGAAACTCAACTCACCTGCTCAACCCAGCTATGCCAGTACCTCTGAGGCTTATACGCCCTCTCTGCATTCAGCTCCGGCCACTCAAGATACACCGCATAGCCATCAAAGCGATTCGAAAGAGACAAGAGCTCCAAAATGCCGACAAGGAACGTACAAGAGCAGAGGACCTAAAGCCTGGCGATTCACGAAATCAACGAATCACAATGCATGGCAAGAGCAATTTCCAAGGCTCACTCCCGCAAGCAAATGAAGACAGTGGGCAGCAGGTTATCAACCCTGCTATCAACCCTGCTCTTCCACAGAAACAAGAACTTCACCGTGCGCCCATCACGGTGTTCGTACCACAGAACCACCAAGATCCTAATGGTGATTGCCATATGCAGGGAGAGAGCAAAGTTCTGAAATATTTTGAGCAAGAAACACCTTCTATCGAACAACCTCCTTCTGCTGATGCTGAAGATCCTGCGGAACTTACTGTAGTTAACCCTTCTCCACTTACAGCAATTGACTCTAGCTCGATACTTGAAGAATCACAGGAATTAGAGCTTATTGTTGAGCTTGGTAAACAACTTGCCAATCACCCTCCTGCAGTTCTTCAGCCTTCAGCTTCACCCACATCGGAGATACTTGGTAGTCAGGAAGTTGATGCTCGACTTGACTCCAATATAATCCAAGAAATCAATATGCCAGACATAGAGTCTGCTGCTCCCCCTGCAGATCATATTCCTGTTCAAGACACGCGAGAAGCGGAAGACAGTTCAATTGAGCTAATCGAAGAAAGCACACCATCTGGTGTCAATGCTTTGCACAAAGACCACAAAGACCAACATCTCGGTGTACCTGCTCCCACGGATGGTGGCAAAGCAGCCAGCAAGACAACCAACACCTCCTGTGGCCGTTCTGGCCCGGCGGGTCCAATTACCGCCCTCTCATTCGCAGAACGAAGACAGCTCACACACATACATGCTCTCAAGCAACTCGTCTCTTCAGACGTTTCACTTACCAGCATGGCTTTTGACGAACAAGATTACAGACAAGCTGCCATCATCTATGAGAACCTCAACTCTACGGCTTGCTTTTACACAACAGCTTTGAGGTTACTTTCCAAGTCAGATTGGAATACGCAACAGCTTTGAGGTTACTTTCCAAGTCAGATTGGAATACGCAAGTTGAATTCGAAGACCATATAGTCCACCAAGCCATGAAAGCTGTTGCCTATGGATGGACAACTGCTATCAATCTACGCAATTGTGACTTTGGGCCTTTTCATTTGGCACTTGCTATGTGCACTCTTCCTGAACAAGTCCATGGGGAAGTGCAGCGCACCTTTGACTCCATGGCCATTAACCTTCCTGCGCCATTCCTGCAGAAACTCTGCTCATCGGTCACCTTTGCCTGTCGAGTTTGTGGAGTAAGCTCACCCCACTTTGTGTCAACCTTTCTTGTTCTGCAACCACTGCCAATTGATGCGCTTGGGCACGATTACTTCAATGCTGCAGTACCTTGGACAGACAAACCACTACCAAGTCACGCAGAAGGAACGCAGCAGCACTGTAATGAGTGTGCTTCTTCCAGTGACTCTACGGTTAATACCAATGCTACTAGCCGTTTGGTGTGGCTGCAGTATCCAAGGGCATCCCATCCACAAGCGAATAGTTATTTGAGCTTCCTGGGCAAGGATCCCCTGTTTTCGGGTGGGTGTTCTTGGCAATGCGTTGCGCTTGTCATACATCAAGGTCATGATCCCTTGTATGGTGAACAGCAGCCTTCCGAACACTTTTACATTTTAGAAAACGAAGGGCCGAAATGCAAATTTCTTTGCTACAATAATGCTGTAGGGCTACACTACATTGATGATGCCAAAACAAAGATGGAGACCGTATTTGCGGCTTTTTCTTCCGCACTTCCGACATCACAACCAAATGGTCCGGACAATGTACCCATGCAGTAAAGAAAACCAGACATCTCCCCGCCCGTAAACCAGGTCAAAGCAAAAGGTACAAGAACAGTGGCACAGTGAAAAACCTCTTGTGCTCTAGAAGAAAAGGTACTTCCAAGAAACAAGACTCTCCGCAGCCGACTCAAGCACCTGTCATCAAGGCAGCGCAGGATATTACGGTACTTGAGACGTACGGGCCCCCTCCTGACGATGCCACCACAGTCCCTGCTGAAATGATTCAGATCATTGAAGATGAAATTCACACTTGCAGGGAGCTTGCGGATGCAAGTTTTATGTTCACTGAAGTTCACAAAATGTCCCACCGGGACATTTTGGCTCAAGTTGGTGGCAATCACGCAGGATTGCGCCTGAAGTTTGGGAAGAAAACTTCGTAGTACATTGGTGATTTCTGACGACGACGCAATGGCGCACCCAATGGAACCGGAGTATGTCATGACATTGAGTCCGTGCGAGATGCCCAGCCGGCTCCTGGTGCCTCTGGCCCAGCGGCGGAGGGGGTGGCTCCTGCTGCGGCGGCCTGTTGCGGCCGAGCCCCGCCCTGCGGCACCTGTTGACCAGATGGAGGAGGACACCGCTGAGCGAGCGGGCTTAGGTTTCACGCCCCCTGCACCTGCAGGGTATTCTAGCGACCCCGTAGATGCCATGGCGGCGGATTCTTTGCCTCTGACGCCCCCGGCAAAGGCACAGGCACCGGGGCCTCCTAGACCGACCAAGAGACCGGCTCCACAACCGATGGAGGAGCCCACATCCAAGACACCTACCCTGCCCACCTTCACAAGGGCTTCGGCAGCTACGTTGGGCGCAGTTCCTATGCCCATCAGGTTCATCCCTGTGAAGGAACCAGAGAACCATGTCCGGTTCGCAATGTTCCCGGATTCCTTTCCGGCCATTCCGGGCCACCTGGCGGGGCTACTCACCTCTTGCTCAGAAGGAGATGGTCCAGCTCTTTGACCAGTTCACCGGCTACCCTCTTTCCACACCGGTGGTCACCCGCATCATCGAGCAATACATCCCCCTGCGGGCGTTGGCAACGCAGGAAAAGATCTGGACCCAGCGGTACCAGAAGGCCACCGACAAATCCGGCCTTACCGACCAGAAGGGCCTCCATTTGCCAGCGGGCGACATGCCCTTCCACTCCATGTGCGGCAAATGCATGACGCCATGGCCTGACAATGCCACCCGCTGCTGGACATGCAAGCATGACCAAGCCGTCGAGTACCAGAGGCCTACATCCATCATGGAGGTGGGGAAGGAGACGTGGACCCTGCGACGATCTGCTCCGGTCCAGTCTACCCCAGGCGCCCCTGGCCCTGAGGCGACTGGACGGGACCCGGAAGCGGAGAGGCGCTTCAAGCTGTCACACTCCATCGATGGGAGCCAGTTCGCCCAGGCCCCGGCGGCCACATCCACTGAGGAGGAGCGGACCTTTGCGGATGAGGTCCCATCAGTCTGCCGGGTCCACATCCGGCAGGAGATTTTGTCGGCAGACCACGAGGACGACGCGGCGGAGACCGTGGGTCGCGGGATATTGTGGAGGGAGAAGACAAGCCTAGGCCACTACCTTGCTCATGCCAACGATCCGCCCCCAGAGGGGGACTCAGCGGACCAGGACGACTCCTACCAGGTGATCAGTTCGAACAGTGTACGGGGCCCGGAGAAGCAGTTTCGTGTCCATCTCCTCACTGTGGAGGGATTTTGCTTGGGCTGCGGTTGGCGCCCCAGGAGCACACAGATGACAGTGCTGACACCCGGGGAGTACTGGGCCAACCCGACGGGCTACGGCAAGTGCGCACGGTGTTTTGCCAAAGGTGACCTCCCCAAATCATGGTTTGTGAGCCGTCTTGGCACAGTGGAGGGGAAGGACATCCCTGATCTTGAGGTTGACACGGAAAGCTCGGCCACGTCGGGCTCCGAGACGGATGACTCCGTGGACACCCAGTCGGTGCTCCCAGTGGAATCAATCTGAGGCGCTCGGCTTTCGACCACCCCTCAGCCTTGAGCCACGGCCAGGCGCCCCTTGGCCCTGGAATGGTGTCACACACCTCGGCCTGCCTGCATTGTACGGAAATGGCGGGTGTGCCAGGCAGACCTCCCGACTGGGCGAATCCTACTGCCTGACACACCCTTGTCCCCCTGGCGAAGTCCAGGGCAGTTTGAAATGGACTAAACGATACAGGGTCTGGGGGAGGACCCCAGCATCAACCAAAGCGCATTGGAAAAAGCATGACTGCAGCTTTTTGCGCTCTTGGGATCTTTTTGACTTCTGGGTACATATTCACACTTGCAGGGAGCTTGCGGATGCAAGTTTTATGTTCACTGAAGTTCACAAAATGTCCCACCGGGACATTTTGGCTCAAGTTGGTGGCAATCACGCAGGATTGCGCCTGAAGTTTGGGAAGAAAACCCACCCAACCCGCCCTTGATGGCTGCACCTCCGGGCGGTGCAGGTGGTGGAGGGGGGCAGGGGGCGCCCCCCCAGCAGAACCAGCTAAACCTTCCACGGAGGCACCGGAGGCTCTCCAACCACATCTGGATTTCTTGACGAAACCGCTTGCTCTTATCTTGGTCGCCAAACAGATCCCCTGGGTGGTTCAGGCAAAATTGGCCCAGGAGGGCTACGTGACGGTGGAGGACCTAGGGGACCGGTGGAACACCCCGGAGGACGCACGGGCCCAAGGACCCCGCGATTTGGAGTTCCGGAATCCACTTCGATGAAGCCTCCTCCAGGTTTACTGCCATGCGCCTGCTACAGGCGGTTAGAGCGGCCAAGTCACTGGCCCAGACACAGCTTCATGTCGGCCGCACCACGGCCACGGAACCCCCGGGCACGGCCAAGGGCCCCCTGGACAGTCTCTGCGACCGGCGGGTCTTGGAGACCGCCTATGCTGAGGCCTACAGCTGCCTGAAACCCCGCCTGGAGTCCCAGGGTAGTGATGCATACCTGAAACGGCAGTTCAAGCGCATTGCGGCCGGGGAGCTTGGCTACATCCAGGCCAAGCACATTGTCGGGGCCCTTCCGGAGGACGGGGAACGCCCCGTCAAGACCACACGAAAGGTGTCGGTGGATGGCTGGGACCGGGCAGACGAGGAAGAGACCCGACCGGACCCTCGGAACCGAAGACAGTTGGAACGAACGCACACGGTGTTCCGGACCACTTTGTTGATGTGCATCGCAGGCCAGCCACAGTTCGCCCACCTGCGACTTTCCAAGGAGACCCCGGATGAATGGTATGAGTGGTTCTATGGGGAGGACATCGCGGGTCGCCGACCTCCCCCTTCAGAGCGGGTGCTCCAGTTCGCTGAGCGCAACGCATGGCGCAAGATTCATGACCTGGTCCACTCAGGTACACCACTCACTGAGGCCCTTTCCAAGCTCCGTCATGACCACCTCTTTTGGCAGAGGGAGGTATATGAACCCCACGAACCGCTGCAAAGGGGCTGGGCAAGACCAGAGGAAAGCCCTGGACCCAGGTCTGGCAGACCCAATGGGACAAGCCAGCGAAGGGCGGCAAAGACCGAGGCCGCAAGACCAGCCCTGAAGGGGGGAAAAGGCAAAACCCAGAAGGGCGTTCAAAGATCCCAAAGGGAAAGCCTTCTGCAGAGACTACCACTTGACAGGCACCTGCCCGGGCAGCTGCGGCCGATCCCACAATTGCCCAGTCCGTCAAGGGGGTTGGGTGTGCAACGCGTCATCGGACAAGCACACCCCGGATGAATGCCCCCATGCCAGCAAGTGACGCCAGGTCGGTCCAGGTGCCCGTGGCCCTGCTCCACCTGCGTCCTCTGAGGTACCGCAAGTGGACCCCCACTCGGAGGCGAGGAATGGTCCAGGTGCCTTGGGCCCTGTACCCCCTACACCACCTCCCAGTGAACCAAAGCCTCGACCCGCCGCTGGGGGTCCGAGCCGACCACAGCGAGACCACCAGACGAAGGTGCCCCCACCAAGGTATCTTCCAGGGCCACCGGCCCACTGAGGCCACCTCTATGCCCACTGGCGAGCGGGTCCCACTTCCACCAGAGGCCAAACCAACCATTCTTCTACTCTATGCCGGAAAGGATGATGCGGGCTCTTTGGACTCCTACCTCCATGCCACATGCCCTGACCTCTCGTCCCTGGTATGGGCGATCGACATTCGACGCGACAAGGGGTCCCTTGGTCAGGACATGCTCCAGGCCCCTGTGCTCCTTGGCCGCCGCGGGACTACTCTTATTCGCGGGGGGCGGCCCCAACTGCCGCACCTGGAGCATCCTCCGCTGGTTCCCCAAGCCCAACGCCCCGAGGCCGGTGAGGGGGCGCAGTGAGACGGACGATGACAGCATGCTGGTGCTCCTCCAGATGTACCTAACCTCACTGGCATACCAAGGCTTGGCCCAGTGCCACCCGCCGCGGGTGGGATACTCCTTTCTGGAGCACCCCAGGGACCCCATGGAGGTCAGCGCCAGCCCCCAGGCACACAAGTGCTCATCCCTGTGGGTGACCCGAGCTTACATCAAGTGGGCAAACCAGTTGCACCACCACCGCATTAAGTTTGACCAGTGTAGACTTGGCCAGATGGTGGTCAAGGCCACCACCCTGTCGACTGACCTCCCACTGCACCACTGGCAGGATCTCCGTTGCAACCACTTTGGGCACCAACCCCTGGGGGACCTCCAATCCAGCGACCTCAGCCGCTATCCAGACCAGATGACGCTCGGCTTATCGCCAAGGTCGTCCAGGTCCCACCCAAGCCCACCACCCAACATTCCGGGGCCCCGGGCCACCTTCCTCCTCCCAAGAGGTCCAGGGAGGAGGGCGCGAGGGGTGCCAATCCGTCCAGGGCCAGCAAAGCAGCCAGGGCCATCGCAGGCCTTACGCATGGCAGCACTGCTGCCAATGCAGCCCCCCCCCATTCAACGGCGGGGGACACCTGGCACACGAGTACAACTTGGTCCGACTGCCCCAAATACGATCCAATCTTGGAGGATCTCTCACTCAGCGATCCTCTGATGCGCCTCAGGTAGACCAGGCCACTGCGGGACGGGGGAGGCAAACCCTCTTGGGGCCGGATGGCTCTGTGGGCTCGACCGGCGATCACGTGTGGATCAAAACAGCACCCCTATCCGGACCCAATGCTGGAGGACATCAGGCAGATCCTCCACCCCGGCCACGAGCATACCACACCAGATGGGCAACCCTTCTACTTGGAACTGATCTCGCAACTAGCCAACACCGCCGGGGACCCAGACTGGCAGTACCCTCAGACTCTTACCACAGGAGTTCCTCTAAAGTCTCGGAATCCACCCTCCCCTCACCGGGAGTGTGGCCTCTCAAGAGTGAGCTCGCAGGGGAAGACCCAGTCGAGGCTCCATTAGATGACCTCAAGGGACACCACAATTACCCATCGGCAGCTGACTTTTGAGAGAAATTCGGGCCACTTTCGCAGAGGAAGTCCCAACGGGCATGACAGTCGGCCCGCTATCCAAACAACAGGCGGCGGATCTCTGTGGCTGTGACTCTGCCCAGGTCCCTTGGCAGGAATTGACGAAGGGGATAAGGTCCGCACCATCTATGATGGATCGGTTGGAGGCGCAAATGCCAAGATCCAACAAAACACTAAGGAACGGACCACGGCGCCCACAGTCTTAGACTGTGTCCATGCCATTCACTGGCTCCATGCCGCCAGACAGACTGAGGCTTGCACACGCAAGGGGCTTAGCCCAGGAGCCTCTGGCCCTGAGCGGGCAGGGGGCCTGGACGACCCAATCCCAACCTGGGAATGGCCTACCAAGGACAGCCAATGGATCCTACTGAAAGCCGATGTAACCAAGGCCCACCGACGCATTAAAGTCCTGCCCCAAGACTGGCGCTTCCGAGTGGCGCAGTTAGACGACGAATGGTGGGTCAACAAAGTGGGCACCTACGGCGTGGCAAGTGCGCAGCTCTACTGGGGCAGAATGGCGGCCTTGCTCCTACGGATCCTCTACTACCTCTTTCCTCAGATCGACTGGGGCTTTGTCTTCGTTGACGATTTCTGCTGGCTTCTTCGCTTGCCCACCGGACCGCAATACACTGCGGCTCTCTTGGGCACACTCGTGGCTTTGGGCACGCCCCTTAGCTGGAAGAAGACCCACCTGGCAGAGATCAACACTTGGCTCGGGTTCGTGATCCACCCGGCCATCCCTCGAGTCCAGATGGCGGCGCCCAAACGCATCAAGGTCATGGAACTCCTGGAGGAACTCGCCAATGGCTCCCCCATGTCAGCCAAGGCCATTGAGAAGGCCATGGGCCGGATCCAGTGGGCCACGGCGTGCTGTCTGCAACCGCTCTGGGCTTGGAAGATGGCGGTCAAAACCATGGGCCATCCACCCAAGGTGGTCCGCATGTTGGCTGCTCTCCTGAAGGAGCTCTTCACGCACCCGTTTGAACAATACTCACCTTTTCTGCCAAAGTCGCCTTGGTGGGGATGCAGTGATGCTAGTGCCTCGAAGGCAGGCGAAGCCTATGTTGGGGGCTGGTGCTCGACCTCCCAAACCCCACCAAGGACCAGGTCCTTTGGTTCCACTATGCCATTACAGCAGATGCCCATCCTTGGGCGTTCAAGGATGGCAACCCTCAGAAACGCATTGCTGCCCTGGAACTCCTGGGCACACTGCTTCTTTGCAAGCACCTGGTGGCCCAACAGGGCCAACTACCGGGAAGAGTTCGCCTCCCGGTGGGCAGTGACGACTCAGGCAACATCTTCAGCCTGCTCAACCTCTCGGCCAAGAAACCATACTCGGCGGCACTGCTCATGGAATTGTCTCTTCCTTCATTGTGAGGGCTGTAGCATTGCTCCCAATTCCAGGGAATACAACACCTGGGCGGATGAATTGACCCATCCTGACTTTGAAGGATTCTCCTTAGATCGCCGGCTACCGGCGCCGGAGACTCTCTTCATTTTTCCGTTCGCCACGAAACTTTTGTCTTCAACAGGTTTTTCCTAGATGCCCACCCAAGATCCCGTGACCGGATCCGGTGCGTTGTCCTCCCGACCCTGTCCCCTGGCACCTCGACAGGTGCCTTTTGGCCCTGGGAGGCCAGGGGACAATCGGGTGTTGTGGCAGCAGCGGGCGAATCCAATGTTTGCCACACCCTTGTGCCCCTGGCGAAGTCCAGGGCAGTGTGAAATGGACTAAACGATACAGGGTCTGGGGAGGACCCCAGCATCAACCAAAGCGCATTGGAAAAAGCATGACTGCAGCTTTTTGCGCTCTTGGGATCTTTTTGACTTCTGCATACATATTTCGCAATTCAGCGAGGCGCCCCAAGCTGTCCTCACTACTCCGAATGGGGGCGGTGACCCAAGTCACTGTCCCTCTTTGGTAGTAAGAACATCTCAAATGCACAATCCCAATGCCAGTCCTCCTGGTCCTTATACTGCCGACTTGCAGAATAATGGGGCGGTTGACCAACAATCCAAAACCATGCCCAAGAATGCGGCATTTACAGTTACGCAAAAGAGTCCGTATGCCATCCTAAGTATGTTTGATGGATGCGGGTCCTCAGTTGACATCATTGAAGCCAAATTCGGCTACAGGCCAAAAGTTTGTATTCTATGTGAAAAAGATGAAACACTGAGATATCTAGTAGGCGAAAAGCATGGAATCACAGTTGATCAGAGATGGCAACACAGTCTCAAAGGAGGTGGAGCCTTCTACTATGCCAAAGATGTTGACAACCTCTTTGTTGACAATGCCCGGCTCCTTCGGGAATTTGTTGCATTAGGGGCCGACTGTCACTTTTTTATCATCGGCGGCAGTCCATGCACTGACCTCACATATGCAGGAGAGGACCATGGTCAGCTTGGGGTCTGCGGGCCAGCCAGTGTCCTATTCTTCACCATGCATCTAGCAATCTATCTTATTGCTACTGTCATTCCAGGAGATCGAATCCGTTTCTTTGTTGAAAACGCTGGCTCTATGCGCAATGAGCATTTTTGCTTTATCCGTGCGTGTTTAGGACTTCGACATGTGCAAAAAGCAGATCTCACCTGGTGTACCTCTGTCATCTCTCCTGCCAAGAGGCTGCGAATCTTCTTCCAAAACAATACCTCGCACGAGTGTCCTGATACGCAAGCCATCCCGACTGCGGATTTAAATTGGACCCAAGATTGGAGCCCCCTTATCCGCTTTGAACGGGGGACACCACGAGAAGTCCCCTTGCAGCCCTTCATGAGACCAATAGCAGTTCTTAGTGACCTAGCATTGCGCTATAGTTGGTCTAGCTACCACCCGTCAGCGCTGCTATGGCGCATTTCCCATTGGCGCACTAAGACTGTTTTGCGACAGTCGCAAATCTCTCCTCGGACAATGGAATACCCAACTTCCAGTGGAATTCTATCATTCCACCGATCTACCGAACGGCATGGAGATACCTACTCAAGTGTTTTGCCACAGGAGCACCGAATCCTGAAAAAGACGCTGCTCCGGGATGTCTTACCGCTGTTCTAACACGAGCATACAACTGCCCTTCCGGCTCTTGACAGATCAAGAAGTTTTACAGGTCTCAGGGCTGAGTCAAAACTTTGGGAGCATTGTGCATCTAAAGCATCTCCTCACGCCTCACACCATGCGTTCCTTTGTTGGTAACTCCTTCCACCCGCGGCTTGTCAGTCTTGCACTAGGCAGAGCTGAAGACTTGCAAGCTTGGGTCCAAGGGAAGCTCCCAAGTGTCACCAAGGTTGCTGATCCAACTACGGTACGAAAGTATTACCTGCGCCTCAAACAAGAAATCAGCATCACCTTTGCTCGCAACAACTATACTCCCAAATCTGCACTTGTTGCTGAACCTTATCGGCGCCATGATTACCAAGCAATTGCAATGTCACCCATTGAGGCACCTAAAGTTGCACAACCTACCGTTGGCAACATTCTACCTGCGTACCTTACAAGAGAAGTCACACAAGCAGATCTCCGAAAGGATGCAGAGGCACGGCTGAATGTCTTAGGAATGCCGCAGTTCTTTCGATTCCTAGAAGATAGTCAGCTTGTTCAGTATGCTCAAAAACTAGCTGTTCCGCAATGGTTACCTTTTACTAGCGACGTTGCGGACTCCCTCATGCAAGGGTGTAGCCTACCACTCCTTCCTGCATATGCGAGAGGTTTATTTGCGCAACCCACTCTTCCGAGGGCAGTCCTCTTTTTCAAAAGCTTGGTTGCAAGCTCTGTCGTCCAATTGTCCTATCCAACCGAGAGGTAGAACAAACATGGCCCAACCCCATGCACAGGATGACGACTGGGACGACCCCAGTTTCCTCCGCCTGTTTCTAACCACGCTAGCTGGCGCGGTGATCCAGGTTCAGGTACCAGTCAGCATACACCATACGTGGGAGATGTTGGAAGAATACCTCGTAGAGCACCTGCCGCTGGTTAGCTTCATAGATACCTTTGGCTGTGAGCTCACCTTGTTTGATGCAGACACCCATATGGCACTGCAGGACCCCATACAAGAGGATCTATGGTGGAACACCCAATTTTGTCTTGTAGTACATGAGTGTTTCCTGACAGCT